TTACATTCCGGGGTGCATTCTCAAGTGTAGTTGCGAGAGCAGTAAAAGTGTGTGTTGTTTATATTTCTTACTGTTATTTCAGCATGTAGTCGTGATTATAACCAGCATTGCAGTTAAAATACATACATAACTATAGTTTCGCAACTACAGTTAGGCAAGTACAGTTTCAAATGCAGTTTTTCTGTACTCCTTTCCACCCGGGAAACTGGCTTTATGACTTTTGTTACGTTCCCATGGAGGACATTTTTTGAGCCAGTCGTGTAAAGACATCTGAGACGGGCCAAGTGTGAGAACATAGCCTCATGTGTGCAGAACTCGAGACCACCTGCGGAAATCTGTATTCGTATCCCCTTTCGGCGTACAGAGAAGTTTAAGTTCGAAATCGGGAGTTGTGGACATGCAAAATGGTTACGGATCTTACATTTTAGACCCTTACTGTTCAAATATCTTTTGAGGGGGTGACTTCAGTGTCAAAATAACATTTGTTTTCTGTTTAGTTAGTATGAAGACGCAGAGATAGCAAAAAAAATCGTTCAGGTCGGTTAAGATTTCGATGAAATAGAGCGTCGACACGAAAGTGACCCATTCGCGAAGAACTGCTCTGCTCTGCCTGGAATGTGTGCAGATTTTAATCATCGTTTCCAGCAGACAAGTCACTTACCTAATGTCAATCTAGTGATGTCTTGTTGCCTGTGTGGCCAATATATATCTTAACGTCAATTAATCTTTTCATTATGTCATGCCAATTCCTGAGCACGATGTGTTATACCATTGCTGTGGCGCGTATTCCATTGGAACATTTCCTTTTTTATTTCCAAACTTCTTGAAACTACAAGCAAAACCCTGACATTTTAACGAGGAAAAACTACCATTTAAGGGCCTGAAATGCTATGGATTTTCAGACACGATTACTTGACTTTTCCAATAGTTTTATTAATTTTACAAACAACATCTCATGACTTTTCAAGTGGTTTTATTAATTTTAATAAGCATGACATGACTTTTCAAACAATGTTCTTACTTTTCAAAACACATCTGTTATTAAATTTGAGAGCAGAATTGTTTTGTAAACTGCTTCAAAACATGTGATTGTAAAATTAAGATAGATTTTTTTTACAGTGATGGTAACAATGGGTGATGTTCCTTATGTGTGACGTTCCTTCAGTTTTGATAAATCTAAAGAGCGATGCGGATGTTAAGCGAGGGGTCCCTAAAGTAGACGAACATACTACCAGCAAAACGCATCAATAATTTGAAAATGTTGAAACTAACGTTTTCATCTGACCCCTCGCGGGTGTTGGTTATTTCATCGGGGTCCTACGTTGACTTGACTTGCAACGTCTGAGGTTACAGAAACCAAATCAAGGGTTCTGAAAAGAGAAAACAACTTAAATATACATTGACGTCAAACCTAGTGCTCTAGAAGGGACTTGCAAGAATATCACCAGAAGTCCGCTTTCTAAACCGGTTACAGCAGAACACATCCAGTGAAGGCCTGCTAGTGATAATAGTGCGAGGGCGTAGGAGTGATATCTCTTTAAGCGCCCTGGCAGTGCGACAGGTCTGTGTACATCTTTCTAGGCCCGCGACGCTGGTGAGCCTGTTACGGCTTCGCTTACAAATGTCACTGACAGCCTTTTTTTAAGTGTCCTGTTGCAACTTTTTTATATCTTTGTGTTTTCTTTGTTTCAGCGACTTTCTCTTCCTATTATTTGTAGAGTTTTACTGAACAGGTCAAGGTACGTAATATGCTGCATTTTATTGTACTTACTGCACCTACGACCAGGACCAGGGTTGGTCTCGTTAACATGGAAAGTTAACGCGTTACGTTACGTTAAATCGGCGTTAACATTACGTTAAGTCCCAAATTTGCCAAAAGGTTAAAAAAACGCGAAGAAAGAAGCTAAAACGACGCGTCCGTGCAACGATATCCCATCTGTTTCGCTCTCCCAAAAGACTAGCCTATCTGTTTCGCTGCCCCGGAAGGCTTGCTTTTCTGTATTTGACACTCTCTGCAGCGCTGTCTTCTTATCTTTGTGGGTTTGCTAATTTTGACAGTAGAATAAAAGTAAAAATTGCTGCTTGTTCCTTTATAATCAAGAAACAAATGGCAATTTTTATTTATTTTTCTACTGTAAATATTAGCAAACCCATATTGAAACGAAGACAGCGCTGCAGAGCGCACCGAAAAACAGGAGAACAGGTAGGCTAGTCTTTCGAGGCAGCGGAACAGGTAGGCTAGTCTTTCGAGCAGCGGAACAGATACGATATTGCTGCTCGAACGCGTCGAAAAATTGCCAAATACGCTGGAAATCGTGTTATCTTGCTGTATACCGCGGTTGAGGCTGAAATGAAGAAGAATGCGACCCTCCCTACCTACAAGCGGCTATCTTTTTGGGCGTTGCAGACAAAAGGCTATCTTTTTGAGCGTGGCAGACAAACTGCTTTTCCCACCTCGCGACTTTGGGTACTAATATCTCCCAGAGGTTGTGTAACACTATGAACGTTTAACCAACCAGCAGGAAATTTCTTACCCGGTAATTTTATGTCTCTTGCTTCGGGAGTTATTCAATATAAACGTGGACAACCTTAACCTCAAAGAAAAGCAGATAGCCGTTTGTCTGCCAAGCTCAAAAAGATAGCCGCTTGTGCGTCGGGAGGGTCGAATGCAGGGAACTTGAAAACGGTAGTCACATGTTAAAGCATAGCGATTTCCGTTTTCTTCTTCCCCGCATTCTTCCCCATTTCAGCTTTACCGGAATGCTTTATTCAGAACACTAGCTAGCCTCCTAGCTCAAGCGCCGTGTTGGGTTCGAACGAGGCCGTGTATAGCGCTCACGCCCTGCGCCTAGGGTAGAAAAACGGGGGAGGGGGGGGGGGCATTTGGCCCTGCATAGCGTCGTTAGCTCGTTAATTATAGTTTCTCGTTATAACGTGACCAACACTGCTAAGGACCTTTCTGAGAACAAGGAACATGCAATTCAAAATGTTTAAAAAGAATAGGCGTGTCTTGCAAGCATTGCAATGCAAAGTGCATACATTTTCAATCCTTGCAAGAAATATAATTTGATAGTATTTTACAGTTAGCGTTACCTCGGATCATTCAGCGAATTTGAAAGATCTCTTGAGGTAGATTGAAAGGAGTTTATTCTTGAGGAAACAATATGAGGGAATACGGGTAATACTCGCATTTAGTACTCCCAACAAACTCCGTTCCCCGGCAAAGTGCTACTTATTCTGGCATCAAAACTTTGTTTTTTTCTGAGCACTTTGGTGAAAAAATATTGTTTACCGTAAATTAAGCACTAGTGGATCTACATACGACTGATCGCTTAAAACTGTTTTCTTTATCCACGGCTATATAGAGGGTGGTCCACAGACCCCTTCCTTTATTTTGCTTATACTGTACCGGATGCAGGCGTGCGGACGGGTTGCATACTCGCACGGGGCCGTAAGGCGCAGCGGTGAGCGACGGTAGGCAAGCCTGCCCGCATACCTACATGTGGCACAGTATAAGCAAGAGAAAGGAAGGGGTCTGTGGACCACCCTGTAGATAACAAAGACAACAACAGCTCTTCAACTGTGTCTGCAGGTATTGAGACACCCGTTGTTCACTCCTCTCGACCCACTCACGATATTTTTTCGATTAAAAACCAAGCGGTACAAAACATTATAGAAAAAGACTTTTCTGACTCTAAGTACGGGCTACTCTGCATATGCTAACCGCAGAGCTGTTCTAGAGTTAAGTAAGTGGCAAACACTTTGTTTTGCAGTTGCAACTGCAGTACACAAAGTCAAGAACATCAAAAAAGTAATTTATCAAAGGTGGACGAACAGGGTAGAGCTCACGCTTCCATGACCATTGTCCAACGTTTGTTGAACTGTTTGTTGGTCTGCGCGGTTTTCAGACCAATGATAAGAGGAACTGGACGTTAGCCTTACTGACCGTTTGGTCTATTGTATAATGAACAGGGTGTGACTAAGCAAACGTTAACCAAACTGGACCTGAACCTTCATCCCACACAGCGTTTCACCAAACTAACCTACTAACACAACGTTACCTTCATTGAGTAAGAATTTATCGTAATTTCAAAACATTTTCTTGGTTAGTTTTCTACTACAAGACCGTCGTTTTAAACAAAAAAACAAAACACCATTTGTTACGAATTACATTGTGAAATCCAAAGCGCCAAAGCTGAAAGGTTTGATTATGTTAGCAAACAATTTCGGCAAGATATCCTGCCTTAGTTTGCAGTGATCTTGACTTAAAGAATAGACTGCTAATGTAATGTGGTGATGTGCCCACAGAATCAAACAAAAAAGTGGGGGTGACATGTGTCGTACTTATTCCAGTGTGTGTTCTTCGACGAACGTAATGGTAGTAGCTCCATCATCTTGTGATTGTTGTATCAGGTGGCTGATTTACGCCGCGCACTATTGTACTATGCAACCCGCCCGCACGGCTCCATCCGGGACTGCATACCCACCAGGCGCAGGGGACCAGCTCCAAGCGCCAACGCGTCGCTCCTGACTGATATTGCAGCCAACGCCCAGGGGCGTACAAAGGGGGTGTTCGCTGTTTCATGCGGGTGCCCGCGGGTCCGCAGGGGGTAACTCGCGGGTCCGCGGAGATGACTCGCGGGTCCACGAGGGTAGTTAGCGGTCCACGGATCCTGCCACGGGGTTAGCTCCCGTCCGGGGATCCTGCTACGGGCGCAGCTAGCTCGCCGTCTGCGAGTCCCCGCGGACCCGCGAGTTACCTCGCAGACTTGCGGATTACCCCCGCGGACTCGCGGGAACGGGCGTGAAACCGCGAACAACCACTTTTGTAACGCCCCTGGGTGTTGGCTGCAACATCAGTGGTGGAACGACGCGTTGGCGCTTGGAGTCGGTCCCCTGCGCCTGATGGGTATGCAGTCCCGGATGGAGCCGTCCTGGAGGGTTGCATAGTACCAAAGTGCGCGGCGTGAATCAGTCACCTGGTATACAGCGCCTCTAAAAGGGCCGGCTCTTGCGAGCTGAACGAATTTTGCTCGCAGGCGAATGAGCCCGCAAGAAGAGCCCGCAAGGTTTTTCGATTCTAAATTTTTCATATTATTTTCAATAAAATTGACTTGTTGCCTTGACACACCGGAAGAATGGCATACTTTCGAAGGATCTGTCAAGGCAAAAAATCAATTTATTGGAAATAATATGAAAATTTTAGAATTGAAAACCCTTGCGGGCTCTTGTGGACTCATTGGCCTGCGAGCAAAATGCGTTCAGCCCGCAAGAGCCGGCCCTTTTGGAGGCACTGGTATATTGGCGCTGTCCACGCCAACTCGACAACAAGTGACCTATTGGGAATTGCGATTGTTCTACGGTAATCGATGCTACTTCAGGTCCCACACATGGCCCTGAAGGAATTTTGTTGATTCTCAACTGGGGTGGGGTGGGGGGCGGATTAAAGTTCTAGCCCCCACCCCCCCTCTAAATCACTATTTCCACCCGTGCGCCGGACTGGGCGAGGGCAGAGCAATCAAATCTTGCCAGTAGGTAGCACTACAAAAGGTCCTCCGAGAACGGATGGGTTCAAACAAAAGTATTTGCCGCTTTCAGAATAAATTAGACATTTCGAAACCAACACGTTGTATTTTGCGGGCCCCTAGAGATCCCTTGAATATTATTTCTGGGATTAGTAAATTTGGGAGGATACTAAATGGGCCCGAAGTGCCGACGAAATCAAAATATAGGTTTTCGATATAATTGAGTTGACGTGTTGTTTTCGGAATTCCTAATCTATTCTGAAAGTAGCAAATAGTTTTGTTTGCTGCCCTGCGTTCTCGAAGGGTCTTATATAGTGTCAAGCACTGGCAAAATTTGATTGATCTGCACACGCGCAATCCGGTGCACGGGTGGAAATAGTAATTTGAAGGGGGTGGGGGCTGGTACTTTGATCCGTCCCCCAGTCCACTCCAGTAGAGATATCGACAAAATTCCTTCGGGTCATGCATAGGACCTGAGGGAGCATCGATTAGCGTAGAAAAATTGAAATTCCCAAGGGGTGACTATTTACTTGTCGAGTTGGCGTGGACAGCGCATATTACACCCCTATGTGAAGTGCGTACCCCTGGTTAATAGCGTTTCTACTCTATGAATAGGTTAGAAAACAATCTCCCATTATCAACTTCAACTGACGAGCAACGGGAAGGGGTTGAGAATGAAACTATTTCTGGCAGCAGTAATGAGTGCTGCAGTGATGTGCGGTAAGTGACTGTTTAAAATCTTGTACATAAGTACACTCAGAAAATGGTGTCCTTGAAACAATGCGAAATGCGTTGCTTCAACGCTAATTTAACGTTGAAAAAATACCAGGAAAATTGTCTTTAACTTCGGGATAATTGCGTTAAAGTAAATTAAAGTTATCCTTAGATTGCGACTATTGTCTTGAAAACAATGGAAATGCCTTAGATCAAGTTGTAAAATGTCCCTGTACGTTTTTAAAAGTATTTTCCTTGGTTTAAGGATACCATTTCCTGTGTAACGAAAAAGAGCAGTGCATCTAGAAAACGTATTCTTGAGGTAAGAGTAACATACTAATAATTAGTATGTTGGCGATGTTTAATACGAACCAAGTATGTCATACTATTATTTAGGAATCCTTTTGAAATCCACTAATGCATGAAATGAGAATAATACATACGAAGTTTAGAATGTTTGATAAGAATGTGACATACCAATCTTTACTATGTTAGTCCTCTAATCTAAGAAAAAAGAATGCCGACTGGGCCATATGGGTAACTCCACCAAAAAGGCACGGGTCGGTGTTCGCGAAAAAGTTTCGCGTTTATCTCAAATATATTGTTTGTCAAGCTTCGCCGAGGTGGTTTTCGCGCTTCAGATGATTACTTATGCCCTATTTTAACTATTTTAATCAACAACAGCTACGAAGCATTAGTATTTCATCAATAATTCGCTATAATCTCACGTTGTCCCCCTTCGTCACACCCTAACCTAATTTCAGCGTTTTCTTCAATACCAAATGATGCCAAGGGCATTTTACTGTTCGAGATGTTTACTTTCGTGTCATTTTCACTATTTCAATCAACAACAGCCCCTCACTATTAGTATTTTGGCCAAAATATGTCTCAAATAGTCCCCTTTTCACGCCGAACGCCCAGGACAGCGTGACAAAGGGGACAATATTTGACATTTTTGGCCGAAATTATGGTGTGTAGCTGTTGTTGATGAAAATAGTGAAAATGACACGAAAATAAACATCTCGAACAGTAAAATGCCCTTGGCATCATTTGGTATTGAAGAAAACGCTGAAATTAGGTTAGGGTGTGACGAAGGGGGACAACGTGAGATTATAGCGAATTATTGATTAAATACTAATGCCCCGTAGCTGTTGTTGATTAAAATAGTTAAAATAGAGCACAAGTAATCATCTGAAGCGCGAAAACCACCTCGGCGAAGCTTGATAAACAATGTATTTGAGATCAACGAGAAACTTTTTTGCGGACACCGACCCGTGCCATTTTGGTAGAATTACCCATATCACCATAGGCCATTTTGTACCACGAACTTTTGGTCCATAAATCGAGTTTTTTGAAGATTCCCTGCACAAAGCTATTGCAGATGGAACTTTAGGGCTTATATGTATTCAATGATTAGTAAGGTATTCAAATTAATTTTCCGGCATTGAGAACAACAACAACAAATATGTCTTAGCCACCCTCACACGCTAAAAGCACTAACTCTTTAAGAGTTTTCATTAGCTTCCTATCCGAAAATGAGGACTGAATAAGGACAAACCTCTTGTTTGATTTTAATATCCATGACGGGTTCTTAGGTAAGTGTGTAACAGAACATTTTAACCTAAGAGTTGGCGATTTACCTCAAGCCAGTTTGCGCATAGAACTTTTCAAAGATAAGCTTGCTTTAGAATACTTACAAATTTTCTGAGCTTTAGGTAGCTCCTGAAACTCAGGGAAAGCTTGAGGTCTTTTTAAACGAACCAGTTTCTACCACACCTGTTGCATCTCAATTCCACATTATCTCAGTACCGCCAACAATAAGTACTGTGCGACGTCTTACGTCACGTCTTACGTCACGTCTTACGTCACGTCTTACGTCACGTCTTACGTCACGTCTTACGTACGTCTTACGTTACGTCTTACGTTACGTCTCGGTGTACGCTGTCTACGCCATTTCCGTACTATTTTTGCCGCAAATCTTAATAATCCCAACTTCAAAATCACTAACTTCAATTTGTGTATTCCAATTAAATTCCTAAACAGCGGGTTGTTTTTCAGTTAACCCGAAGTACCGCCAACAATAGACACTGTGCTCGAGGCCACTCCCGCCACTTTGTTGACAGTGCACCCAAACCAAAAATAGAGAGCTAAATAAAGTAAATTTCTAGAATGTTTATACAGCCACCAAGTTTTCTGGTGGTCAATCGAACTTTCTACGGAGCACACATTCGTGCTACCACACCGACACCATTGTTTAAATTCAGGTACCAGGTGGTCAGTGCCTCGGTCCCCTCGGTCAGAGCGAACACCTCTATGTTCAGTGTTGCGGGTTTGCACACCATTTCATGCCGCAGGGGCAAAGACGCAATATGGGCTGACAGCATAGGCCAAGCACACCCCGCACAACTAAAAATGTTTACTTCTTTATTTACATTAGGAAATATAATTTAGTTTTCTTTATCATGGGTTCGTTTCGCAGTTTACACGAAGTGTTAACGTTTTTTTGTGAATGTTTAAAAAAAACAAAAACAAATACGGCCTGTCCATTATGTTCAGAAAGAAAGGCTTGCATGACATCCTATTTTTACCATAGTGTCCCCTTGAAGTATGGAAACACATTATTCCTTGTTTTTTTTTTAATGTTTCCTTGTTAGCATATTTCCTCCTCAGTATTTTCAAATTAATGGCCATTTCATTAATGAGGAAATATCTTACCCGACCGAGAGTTGAACCTCGGACTTCTGTGCTGCCATCCAATCACGTTTGCCACTCGACCACCGAGACGTGATGGGAAGGTCACTCCAGCATTTTCAGGTCATTCCAGCCGAGCGCTGGGTCGTTCCCAGCTTTGGTTAGGGCTCGGGTTAGGGGTTTAACATTCTAAAGATTTGAATGTTAGGTTAGATTGACGCATTCGTATGTTAATCCGCCAAACATTGGTATGCTTACAAAAACCTTGTTTTGCATTTAACTCAAATTTTGACATGACATTAAAATTAAATTTTACTCTGTATGCTCTATAATACAATAGGGCCTTTAGGAAGCATGCAAGTTTTCTTTTGTTTTGTGTTGTTTGAAAAAGTGAACCATGTACCAGAAATAATTGGTTTAGTATCAACGCGCGCAGGGTCCTCACCAACTCTCCTTACTTGGGTACGGCAACGTTTTTCACCTATGATTATAGTGTTTCCTACGCGCTGCTTCATTTTCGTACCGATGATTAAGTGGGTCACTGCACTGATCCATTTTTCCTTACTGCGGAAAAGAACATTCATGGAAAAATCTTTTTCTATTTTATAATCCGCGGTATTAAATGTCTAATAAGCTGATGACCTGGGTCCAGTAGGTATTCTTTTTTTCTTAGATTAGGGGACTAACACGAAAGATTAGTATGTCACATACTAACCAAACATACTAAACTTTAGTATGTAACATCGCATTCTAATTCCATGCAATGGTGGATTACATACTAAAGAATAGTACCCATACTCGGTTCTTACTGTAGTAAGCAATCCTCCTAAATAACATTATAGTATTATTCTGAAATCAAAAATATCGTTTTCTGGGTGAAGCGAGCAAGTCACGTAACCCGTGCGGTTCGTTCACTCTGAGGCTCTTTACCGTGAAATGGTTCGACCAATAAAATACTGGTCAACCTCTTGTGCCTTTTTTAGGCAGTGTATGGCGAATTCCATAGGGGAGGGTGGTCCGTTTTTTACTCGTTCTTTACCAACCCACTTTCTCTTCTCGTTGGTAGGAAGAACAAGTATTGTTCTCAGTGCTGTGTAACCCTTTTCCTGCTCCTGTTTTCATCTCAGAACATACAACACCTACAGACATGACAATAGTACCACTGTAGAGCAGGGAGGCTGGTCTCAATTAAAGCAATGAAACTTTTTTCAGGTTTAATAGTATAATTTTGAGCACTCTTAACAAATTTTGCGTGTTTTCATTCTAAGTCCCAGACCAGAGCTTATTTTGAGAGTGTTGAAAAACGTAGTGCTAAGCAACGAAAATAGATCATGCATGCATCTATGAACTTATGAGATGTTAATGAAACTGTTTTATTAAGGGGGGTTTAAAGTTTTAAAATTGTTTTTTTGCTTATAAATGGATGTATGTAGTTTTTGGCCCCCTATAGATGGCCATGGTCAAACTGGGTGGAACTTTCATTTCCTATTAGACACTGAACGAAGAAACAACAATAGATTGTAGGTATGGAGGTATCTTTTTGGTCCCAGACACTGGAGCGCACAGAAAAGTTTATTGTTTTACTTAAAAGTTAGCGCGCATGATTTCTCCAGCAATATTGGGTTTAAAATTCTCTCATAAGGTTTTTCTGAATCAGAATCAAAAGGACTACAAATTGACACGGGGGTTGTGATATCCTATGTAAAACAAAGATTTTCTACCTCATTTTTTGAGAAAAAAAGTTCATGAATTTTTCTTTGGAAAATTAGAGGTGATATGGTTTTTAAAAATCTTTGTTTCACATTGAATATCAAAACCCCCTTGTCAATTGTAGTCCTTTTGATGCTGATTCAGGAAAACCTTATGGGAGAATTTTAAACCCAATATTTCTGGAGAAATCATGCGCGCAAACTTTTAAATAAAACAATAAACTTTTCTCTGCGCTTCAGTGGGACTAAAAAGATACATCCATACCTACAATCTATTGTTGTTTCTTAGTTCAGTGTCTAATAGGAAATGAAAGTTCCAATTAGTTTGACCATGGCCATCTATAGGGGGCCAAAAACTACACATATCCATTTCTAAGCAAAAAAATCTATTTAAAAACTTTAAACCCCCCTTAAACTCTAAATGTAAAAGGACAATTTTGTCCATAGAGATGGAACCGATTCGTACACATCCAGAAAGGATGCAATTTTGTTCCTAAATCTAGACAAATTATGTTTTGAGTCGCTACCGAAGCATTTTAATGAGTTTACTTAATAGATCCTCCCAAAAACTTGCAAGTCCCGTGACGGTGGAAGAGTACTTGAGGTTATGCACCATCCGTGCTCCCAACTGTGGACGGACATGATGACTACTTCACAGTGAGCGCGCGGGCGTTGCTCCCGATGCTTCATGTGACGAGCTAGACATTATTTTCCTTCGCCAAATTTAGTTTGGTCCTTCCTTTATCTCTGAAAATTGGCCGCAACACTTTTTTATAGGTATAGACTGAGCAAAACCATAACCCGCAGAGGTCTGCTTTTGGACCAATGTGCCCCGGGCAGGGGCACATTGTGGGCCCCGGGCAGGGGCACATTGGGCCGAGCTAAAAAATAAAATTGCTGAAAAGAACCTCCGCTTCATCCCGAACACCATTAGGGTGTCGAAGTGCTATTCTACGAAGAAAATGCCCAGAGGAGACAAGATATCGAAAAATAAAATTAGTCAGTTGCAAGACGGTTCAAACTGCCCGGAGGGTAGCAAATTCAATTGAATGGCTCTAAAAGATAACTGGTTTGTTTTCACCAATTGGACACTGCGTGCAATCTGCAGCTAAAATAGTAGGCTTCATCATAAAACTTGGTTTGCAACCGAAAATGCGTGTTTTGTACCTAGTTGTGGGGTCAACATTTTTACTTTTACCTTATTTTGAGGTTAAAAAATATTTATCCCTCGCCATTTCGATGGTTCACTGCAAACTTTGACAAACCTTTCGGAAAATCTGTCAGGGTGGTAATGGCTTCTTGCATAGTTTGAGTCACTGCGATTGCTCTATCCTCGTAAAACTTGATGGCGGACCAATGTGCCCCATGGTCCAATGTGCCTCACAATCCCCTACTCGGCAGACCGAAAATGTAAGCTGTTTGATCATGAGCAAAGAGCGCGGGCAACTGGATTGCACGTATCTCTCCGGGCCGTTGGCACCGCATTGTCCATTGTTTCATGATAATCTCCTGGCACAAGTTGAAACGGACGAAGTTTCGGTCAAACGACGAGGGAAATTCTATTTGTTTGTGTTGTTTTCTGGATGCGTTTCGCTGCTCTGATTGTACCGGGCAGATATTCGTCAATACTTCATTCAATAATGCAAGTTCTGTTGCCATTCGGAATGATGTCCTATCCATCATCCTCGTATTAACCGTGAAATCCAAACGTTTTTTGGTCTGTTTGCATTAGCTCGAAAAGGAGGCTTCTTTTTGATCGAGGCCTTGGTAACGCGTATTTTGTGGTTGTTTGAGCAACAACTCAGCACAAGAGTAAAATTTCATGAAGATGTATATTTTAAATGCAGGTGGCTGTAGCGGAAATAGCCTAGGGCACTTGCCAAAGAGGGTGATTCTCAGAATACGGGCCGTTTAGATTCCGCGGCCCTTCACAACTATGTGATATGGTTTGAAAAGGTTTTTATACCATCTAGATACTCGAAAGCACTAATACTATCTGGTGCAACACGAAAAACCTAAGAATACTGCAACAGTAGGTGACTAGAGCAGTTTAAATGGTCAAAATGTGAACTCCAGTACGTTCCTAATGTCTGAGTTCATGCGGACTTTGCCAAATTCCGGACAATTTTAAGGGAATAGTCGTCTAAGGCACATTGCATTTCTGGAGTGACATATCCAGGGAACGCAAGGAATGAATTTCGATGTGGAAATATTTTTCTTTATTTCGTCAGGAGACGACCGAAGTCGTTCTCACTAACTTTTTCAAAAAGTAACGGAGTTCACAATGTTTGCACTGACGTCAAACTGGGCAGGAGGTAGAATAACAATTCTACGCCCACAGTACTACTCTGTAGGGACTATTAATGTTCCCCGAAGCAAGCGGCAGAGCTCCTACTTCGTCATCGTCAAAAACAGTCTTCAAATTCGAAAGTTGGCTGGTACGCTTTTGCAGTGTGAATACCGTGTCGCCTCCACACAGCCACGATTGTGTCATATCAAATCCCCCTTTCGATGAAAAGGAAGGTTTTGATGTGCTGCTTCTTTTGTGGCTAAGCGGATCCTTGCATCTGCAACCCCGGATTAGTAATGCTTCAATTAGTACCTTCTGACTTGTGAACTCCGTATCCCCTTTTGTAGGTCTGACCTTTGTTTAATAACTTTTAGTTACAGGTAACGCGTTGTAATGACCTAATGAGAAAATATGTAGTTAGGGGTTAATTTAGAACTGTACATTATGAGGTTGGGCATCTGTGGAGCAGTGTCGGGGCGAAAAACAAGTTATTTATTGCACTGTTGGGGATGACTGAATGTAAAATATGAGTACGACACACTAGTGGAGCAAACAAAAGACTAATTAAAAGGGGCTGGAGGCAATATTTGAGTTTTACCATTGATTGAACGTGACCACAATATGGTCTTTTAACGTTGTACTAGAAGTACGTGATTTGAACTATCGCCACTTTACACGTATCTTATTTGAAGGCAAATAAAACCATTGCGACCCAAAAACCTAGCAAATTCGACAAAAAAAATAAAAATTTTAGGAACTCCCAAATGGCCCGTATTCTGAGAATCACCCAAGAGAGAATCAGTCTGGAACACACTCGAGGAGGGCGAGGAGGATGCTGCGGCAGCAAACAGCTCCAGCAACGCAACTTCTGAATTCAGGGAGATTAATTTCATCCTCTTCTCGTACGTATCTCATTATTTTTCTTTCTCACTTCTTAATTCGCAAGGAAATGAAAACATTTGTGTTGTTCTGACAGTTCGGACGGCAACAGCTCGATTGGTGTTGATAACGCACCCGCCCTCCTCGATGACGCCACGTTCAACAGATCACTCCGAACTGTTTTCTTCATACACGGCTACATGGATAGCAAAGACAGTGACAGCTCCAAAACTGTGTCTTCAGGTATAGAAAAAACAACATTGTCTCTTAACCCACTCACGTGATATTTTTCTGATTAAAAATTAAGCGGTACGAAACATCTGACAGAAGGTAGATGTACGCCAGACCACGTCTCGCGAAACAGGCTTCGCGATATCTCACGCGAAACACTGTTACGCTGCAACGCGCCTGGCATACATGGTACCTGGGCCTGCGGCGCTGACACCCGAGTCGGCCAAAAGGCAGAGTCGTAAATAGGCCTTTGGCCCCAAGGGTCACAAATTCCCCCCCCCCCCCACTCCCGTGTTTAATTTTGCCGAGACCGAGGGCCATTTTCGTGTGGAAAACTTCCTCTGGCGCCTAAACGGAAGATAGAGCCAAACCCCCTTTTGGTCCTACTTTTACGAGTTACCTCTCAGGAAGATATAAAAAATATTTTTCAAAAGAAATCTTTTCGGCGTTTTGTTTTTGAAATTTTCGATAGTTCAATTATTGAGCTAGAGGGTTCAAAATCAATACAGTTCTTGCTTTTTATGACACAAGCTGCAAGAAAAATTTCACGTACGATGGAGCGGGGTACCATGACCACCTTATTTTGTTTTAGTCCTTCCCCCTCCTCTATAGTGTTTAGGGCAGCTGGATTATATGCTCAGGTCTCTTAAATACAACCTGCTTAAGAAATCATACCTCTCAATCAAACAATTTCTGGGCTGGGGATAAAATATTGGAACCCTGCATTATGTGCATGGTACCCCACCCATGGGGTTCCATGATCATTAGGTGGGGTACGATGATTTTGCATATTTATGTCCTAGAAAGACACCCAAAAACCTTATTATGTTCAAATCTTATTCGCCGAGACGATCGGAGGCAAAATGCCACAGTTATTGTCATTCAAAGTGACACGAAGTCGTTTTTGCGAGGGGGAAATCACGCCAGATCAAAGTGTACGAGTTAGTACACGTTAGTACACCCTATTTTTTGCGTAGTTTTGCATCATTTATGCAAAATAATGTTATTACGGCACTGTTACGCTTGATGTCTACCATTTACGCGTTATTACGCTGTTAGTACGTCTTTAGTACAGGCCGGGGGGAACGAGTTAGGGGCCGTACCCAAACCACGTGACGGATTTTTGGCAGGTTTTGCCCCCGGTTTCCGGTCATTTTTCCCAATAATATGTGCCCAAAACTTATTTTCCCAAACAAGGCTTTAAGCGATGTAAAAATAGTATATACCTGTCAGGAATTTCTCGCAATTCCGATAGTGATAAGGGATTGCTGGACTGCTCACGCGCCCGCTCCCTCCGCATACTCTTCTTTAAGGCGGTAGGAGCGAGTTTGGGTTTTTTTCAGAAATCGGTAGTGTATGATACGCTTATACACTACCTCGAACCGTTTTGCTCTCCGACGCTTAGTTTTGGCGTCGCGACGCCTCAAAGTTCGAATTTTCGCCGACTTTGTGACATAAGTTTGGCGAAACTATAAACCGCACAGCCACGAAACTTCGTGGGATGGTAGTCGGGTACTAGGACTAGTGCCCATCATATTTTTCAAGGTGCAAAATGTGACAGGGTTTGATCTGGAACGCCTGGAAAGTCGGTCAATATCAGACGCTTGTTAGAGCCACATCTGTGGACGCATCGAAAAGAAATTTATGATGGGCACTAGATTGGACTTTACTCTTTCTGACTGTATAAGCAGGAAAAATATGATATTTGTGGTTTTCCTAAACTTATGTCACAAGTGAACCTCTGTTTCGAACCGCCTGAGACCTTTAGAGAGAGACAAGCTCAGCGGGCTGCAGCCGTCCTCGTCGCGCAGAGAGGGGAGCGGGAGGGGTGTGGGGGGCACCGAAAAAAAAGGAGGCGGGTGGGATGGGGCCTGTTCGGCCGCCTCCACCGGCCGCTGGCCTACCCTCACAGCAGGGGGGTGCCGTGACTAATTAACGCACTTCTAAAACGGGTTCAACTATTTGAAATAGAGGTTGTACAAAACTGACATTGGCACCATTGGATCGGCAAGGAAAATGTCAACTAGAATACCAAAAATCATAGCTCTAGGGCAATTTTTAGTCAAATGACATGAACTAAAACTTGTAACCATTTCGGTCAAAATTGTCGCAGAGACTTCATTTTTTTTCCACAAAAACCGCAGTCGGCGCAAAACTTCTCAAATTTTCTCGGTAGGAGCACTATTTGCGCCACACAACGGCATATCCTCTTTCAGTCAGAGCACTGTTTCGCTGGCCTGTTGTCATATAATAGTGTCTTTGGAAACAGAGGGTGGGGAGGGGAGGGGGCCTCTGGGGTCGCGGTGCTCGGCTCGCACAGGGGGCCATGTGGTGACCGGAACGAAACGGGCTCACTGGAGCAATGGCGAGCCGCCATAAGTCCTTTTCCAAGCTTGCGAGCCTTCTAGCATGCACGGCATCAATTTCTTGAGAATCTGGCAGAGTCCAAAAGTCCAAGAATGAAAATTCTACGATAATTCTAACGGATTTTATAGTTGTACTTTTCGGGACTTGGTCGCCGGAGAGGCGAAGGCAGAGCTGGCCCGGAGCTCGAAGGAGGCTGGACGCGTCGAGGCAGACCCCGGCGGCCGGGGTCCTCGCCATCTGGATTTGTCACGCGTCCCGGCCGGTGCAGTCCCGCCTCCCCCGCACCCGCCCGCACCCCGCAGGGCCTGCCGGGCCTGCCGGGCCTGCCCGACCGTTCGGACGCCACCAAAACATTTAATACGCAGCCATTCCCAGACTGGCCGTGCGCTCCTTCTCTGGGTAGGGCCCCTTAATACGCAAGTGATTCCCCCCCCCCCTTCCCGCGTTTTTGGCAGTTATTGTCACTTTGAACGTCAATAATTCTGGCATTTTGCCTCTGATCGTCTCGGCGAAAAGGACACTTTCGTTCCCTTTTTGACGATAGCTGAATCCAAATCACTAACCAGATTTTGATCTGAACATAATTAGGTTTTGAAGTTTGCGGCTGTGAGCTCACTCGTTTCCAAAGCGCAGTCTAGAAAAGAGCCGCTACCAACACGATTCTCAGGCGCGGAGCTGGGAACAGAGATTGTTTTTCATTCGCGGCCAGGGACAGAGCCGCTTCCCACACGAGAAATGACATCGTCTATAAATTAAAGATAGGAACAATTGATTTTATTTTAAATTTATTCCAATGGGTTAAATCTATTCTAACAAGTTTAATTTGGTAAGGTATGCAACAATCTTATGGAGGGGTTGGTCATGTAAAGTATTAAGTTGGAGAATCTTTTAAAAAAAAAATTAAATTGCCACTCTTCTTTAAAATGAGAGAAAATTATATAAAAAAAAAGTTCATGATCATGGTAATCCGAAAACAACTGCTCATCTTGCCCCAAAAGGCAACTTTTTGGTCTAGAGAGACCTGAGTTAACCTCAGGTGTTCTGAAAAATCGCGTCTAAGTCCAGTCGTTTCTCATAGTAAGAAGGTTAGAGAAGGCAGGGAAAACGTCGCTTGTACTGTCGGACTCAGCATGCGGCTCTAAAAAAATATCCTGAATATTTTTATGCTCGATTTACCTAATTTGCTCCCTTTAAATTTATGAACCTCTCCCTTCCTCGTCTTACGCGCCGTGCGCCTTCGCGCTCTCGATAAAGACACCCGCTGGCACACCCCCTATCAACGTCTTATTGGTTGGTGACATCATTGGCGCGTACATTCATAATGCTCATCGTGTCCCACGTTCATGGTGCCCCGCTGTCCCTAGATAGAACCGTTCTCGAGTTACCGTGATTACAGACAGATATACGCGAAACTTTTTGATCATTCCTGGAGTAATATGCTTCGCTAATCGATCAGCCAAACAAATAATACTTTTCCTACTTGTGAAGATTGCGACTGGGCACCCATACGGGTACCGGCATACCGTATCCCCTAGTAAACTATTGGCCATTCCAATTTCAAGATAAAAATTTTCGATAGTGGAGGTCTCAATCTCAAATAAAAGCATGCGTAGAAATGACGCTGTCTTGAGCATCACCTTGGCGATCGGGGGTAAGTGGCCGCCACGTCTGACACGCCAAGGGTTCATGAGCGTTCATAGCAATGAGGAACACACGTCGTAACGTGGAGGCCCATGGCTTGCAGACATTATCACCGGGCACAGTCGCCTCTTTCCATTTCCCAGAGTTATTAAGGTCATGATCACACGTCTGCTTCAAATATGGCGGACCAGATACTCGGTACGCGTTTTAAATCTAACCGAAAACTTGCTCCAGCCTTCCTACGTCAAGGATCTTTCAACGTTATCGTCGTCGATTGGAGCGCATACTCTGGCTTTCCGTACCTCTCGGCGCTCAGCAACCTGCCTGGTGTGAGTCGTGTTTTCTTTCTCCTCAAACAGTCATCTCATTACATGTTCGTGAGCTCTATCGCTTCCCCCTATAGGCCAGTCGTGCTGTAGCGGACGCACTCAACCGCATGGTGCAAACTGGGCTTCCGGCAGAGAGTATCTGGCTAACCGGTCATTCCCTTGGCGCACAACTGATTGGGGTAGCATCTGATACCATCACCTTCCAAATCCATCAAATAACAGGTAAGATATAATAAAAATCAAGGCAAGTGTGCCGCCTAAAAGAAAAGGAAGATGAGTGGAGTGGTACTCCTCTAGTGCCCGGATCTGAAACGAAGAAGAAGCAAACCACGTTTTATTATTCGTCTCCCTGTTCCGGACTCTAGCGGAGTACCCAAGTACTTCTTCCGACGTGTATGTCGTACTTCGCACAGAATGTTAAACTCTGGTAGAAACAGTCTTTAGGGGGCTGTCTGAAAAATGTCGACAACGCGTGTTCAACGTGCAGGCATGGACCCTGCCGGGCCTGGATTCGAGACCCCTGGCGTTGCCAGACTGACGCGGGACGCAGCTGAGCTGGTGGAGATCGTACACACCGACGCTGGCGTTTTTGGCTTCAACGCGCCATGCGGCGACGTTGACATCTGGCCTAACGGTGGCACAGCTGTGCAGCCCGGCTGCTTCCTCGAGCTCGAGATCGGCTGCAGCCACCTTCGCTCTTGGATGTACTTCGCCGAGGCTGTCAATCATGCGGATGCCTTTCCCGCCGTACGTTGTGCGTCGTGGGACGACTTTCGCCGCGGAGCGTGCCCTGCCAATGGCGGTGATGTGGTGTACATGGCGCACAGTCATCCCGGACAGTAAGTTCAGCTATGGAGTTAAATAATAATGATAATAGGGTATTCCGCAAAGACGGAACCTAAACGGGAATATGAAGTAATGTAAGAGCCCAGCCCAACTGTCGCTCTTGTATTCTTCCTATTTCTGAGGCCACGGAGTTCGTGGCGTCTCCGTTCCGTATAAGCATGCGAGAAGGGCGCCCTGGAGAAGAAGCTTAACCCCGGCCGGAGCGTGCGCCGCGGGACGGGGGACCAGCATGTGAGCGCCAATAAAGAGCTACGGCCTTTTGTAAACGTGCGCCAGAATGGCGAAGGACTGACGCGTCGGCTCATGTAACTGTCATACCTGTAAGTTCAAAAGTGAGGGCGCATGGGCCCGCCTAAGGGCGCGCGCGGCCCGTGCCGGGGGCTCCGGCCTGGCTGATGGCTGGCCGGCGGAGCGGCGCGCGGGCCGGGCGGGCTGCGCAGACCGGTGGAGGGGGAGCGCAGCGGTCGACTGCGCATCGCCCGCCCGGCCCAGCAGCGCTCGGCCGGCCAGTCATCAGCCAGGCAGATTGGCCGGAGCCCCCGGCACAGGCCGCGCGCGCTCTAGGCGGGCCCCTTACTTTTGAACTTACAGGTATGACAGTTACATGAGCCGACGCGTCAGACCTTCGCCATTCTGACGCACGTTTACAAAAGGCCGTACGTCTTCATTTGCGCTCACAGGCTGGTCCCCCGTCCCGCGGCGCACGCTCCGGCCGGGGTTAAGCTTCTTCTCCAGGGCGCCCTTCTCTCATGGTATAAGCCCGTCGTTCCAGAGAGCTCCGTACAGACACGTAGCTAAGCGGGTCACCGTACAACATCGTAAGTGCTTGCAAGTCACTTTTCAGATGTAGCGATTCAAAGTTAAGGATTTATATTGCGCGTTATGGGCGACTCGAGTTTTAGACCAGAATAACTGTTAAACTAATTTACATATCGTAATGCGGTTTTCGTTGATCGATGGTTTGTTTTCTCTATCCGACACATTTCTTTACTCGAAATGGTCAAAAACCATAATGACGACGCCGCTGGACGGTGACCTGCTGAACTCCATGAGTATAGGTTGGAGTTGTCGAACAGTTACGCCACTGTCACTGAGATTTAATGTGCGTACAGGAGGGCATAAAGTTAAACCCACGTAAGCACTCACATAAGTGCCAAGTGCCCGCTAAAATTCTGCGCACTTTTTAGCCTGCCCTACTGCTTTAAAAAAAGCATTAACGCGGGATAATGCAACCACCGCTCTACTGTCGGTCCGTCGTCCGTGTAAGACGAAGGAGACGAGCTAGAGGTCTACAAATGGTGCGTGCAAATCCTGGAACAACCACTAACGCGGTAAAAGCGGATAACAAAGAAATAAGAGATGGTCAAAGATGTAGATTTTTTAAATATTTTTTTCATGGTCGCATAAAGGGTGCCTTGTGAAAGAAGAACCGTTACGACTAAAATTTTCTCTGTTTGACTCTATCTTGCACCGTTTGGGCGATGAAGTGTGTTTTTTTTCGACGAGAATACGGTGAATATGACCACGCTGCACATAAAGACGTACAAAGAGGCGTCAAATCGTAAAATGATACCATCACCTGCTTGTCGGCTTGTCGACACTTACCAAAACGTTTATGAAGGGGGCAGACCAGTGAAACCATGGAGTAGAAGGGGATGGAGAGGCAACGACGAGCGGGCCAGGGCCTGCGCGGCCAAATGTGCGGCTCATTTTCTCCAAAACGATTCCACCTATTTAAAATCCGAAAGCAGCATCTGATAGGGGAAGGTTGATTG